GTTCCTGCAGCTCTCCCTCGATCTTCTTCGATCTCCGTGCGCTGCCGCTCGGCTCCTCCTCTCCAAGCTCCACCTTCTCGCCGGTGATTGGCCGCCTGTGTGCCTCTCCTGAGCTACAAGTTCTAGTGGCCAATCAGCGGCGAGGAGGCGGTGACAGGGGCAGCATATTATCCCGCCCACACATCGCCGGAGACAGCAGCGGTGTCTCGGTTCCTAAGACCATCGGAAATATGTGTTTTCCGATGGTCTTAGGCGACCCCTGGGGAAATGGTCGTTCGACCCCCAAAGGGGTCGCGACCCCCAGGTTGAGAACCGCTGGACTACAGGATTTATAATGTGCATAGAGAAGTGCACATGGCTACAACTAATGTGTACTGTGTATTCCAAAAAAATGGAATTGAGGGGGGAAAGGAGAGGTTCAGAGCTCATAGAGTATATAACAAGGCAAAAAAAAACCACTGTTGGGGTGAATTTCACAATGTATGCAGTGGCAGATGTTTTACCATATAGTAAAACGTCTGTCACTGCAGGGAAGCACAAGAAGCAATTGTTTCCTGTGTGTCACATTCACCTAGAGCTGCGTGCTGCTGCTGAAGACAAGCTGCATTTTATTGCAGCGCACTGTGCCAAATTGCACGCCAAGGTACAGCAACACAGCACATCACACTGCTGTACATTGCCATGAAAAATGTGTACATTTTGTACTCTTCAGATAAAGTTCATACAAAACAAAAAAGGGAACTGTGTGATGTGCTGAATTGTGCGCCGCACTGCCCCCTACAGTAGATGGCAATGAAGAGCTGTCACAACGGTTAATTGTTGTCGCAGCTCTCTGCTATGTGTGAATTCAGCCTAAGAAATTCCTAAATGAAAAAAAAAAAACAGATTATAGGGCCTTTAAAGCGGAGTTCCAGTTGCACTGTGAAAAAATAAAAGTCAGCAGCTACAAAAACTGTAGCTGCTGACTTTTAAAAAACAGCGACACACCTGTCCCATGATCCCGTGGTGTCCTCACCACAGCCTGTTTCACCAGCTGCCTGGTGCTACAGGGTCCGGCATCTTCATTGTGGGCACCCAGCTGTGACAGCCTGAAGCTTCACAGCCGGGTGCCCACTGCGCATGCGCGCTGCACTTCCTGAATGGCCACATAGTCTTCTGGAAACCCGTCACGTGTCCCAGAAGACTACAGGGAGGGAGGGTAGGAGGACAACTTCTGCTTCCAATCGCCTTAGGCGATCGCAGCGGAAGTGGGAGCGGGTACCTGTCAATTTCAGGTACCGGTCTCCCCCCGCTTTCTAAAGGTGGGGAGTGGGGGACCAGTCTTTAACCTTCCTGGCGGTAATCTTGAGTGTGGCTCAGGGTTAATTTACAGTACCAAGAGCGGTAACCCCGAGCCACATTCAGGATTACACTGTAGTGCTTGTCCTGCGATCCCCCGATCCTTACATTGTCCTACGATCCCCTGATGTCCTCCAGCTGTGTCCTCTGGCTGATGCCGGCAACCGTCTTCTGGGTTCCCTTCCCTGCGAGATTTGGGAAGCAGGGGGGTAGAACCAGTGGGAGATTCAAAAAAGTAAAAATATGACATACACACAATACATTGTAATCTGTTAGTATTACATTACTGTATCAAACCATTTCACCTATATTTTGTCCTGTGCCCTGCCTGCACTTTTGCCATTCTGTCTGCCTAGAAACTTTGAGAACGTCCATGGCATCCAAAAAGCATCCCTTTAGGTCAAAAGTGGTTTTAGAGCAGCTAGAGAACAGCGAACGTGAATTAGAATCACTTGCAGAATTGAGCGATAGTGATTGGTGGGGAAATTTATCATTAGACACTGAAAGTGACGACAGCAACGATTCTGGGACTGAGCTCAGTGATGTGCAAACTTGGTGCTCTATTTCATATTTCAGTGTTTTGGTTTGATTACATTATTGAATTACATTTATTATTATATTATTATTTTTTATAATTATTTATTATATTATAATTTATGATTTCGTGTTTCAAAGTTGTCATACCCCAGATGTTTACTAGACTCTTGTTTGAACAGATTTAAGTGAGTTATTCCTAAGAATTACAGGTCTACAATATAAAACAACCAATTTCCATGCAAAACAATGAACTGTTTTGACATTGAAAAATATTGACATTATTTAGACCGCTAGGGAGGTTAAAGTGGAACTTCCCCTTTTGGGTGGAGCTCTGCTTTACGTTGTGGATGCGTATGAATTATTTTGTAAGCATAAGGATATTGTTTAGTGTCACTAACATGGTAAATAAACAATTTATTACTTAAAACGTATAGTAAAGCTGGTCATAGATGATTCAAAACAGATTCTTCCATCCATACACAAAAGAGGTGGATGAAGGAATCTCCAATCCCCCCATGCCTCGCCGAGACATTGGGGTTAATTTACTAAAGGCAAATATACTGTGCACTGCAAGTGCACTTGTTCCAGAGCTTAGTAAATGAGGTAAAGCTTCACTTTGCAAAGAACACCCAATCACATGTAAGGAAAAAATAAAAAACAACATTTTTATTTGCACATGATTGGATGATAGAAATTAGCAGAGCTTCCCCTCGGATCTAGAGCAACTACACTTGCAGTGCACAGACTATTTGTCTTTAGCAAATCAGTCACCCTGTATTCTGACAGCAGGACTTGATGCTATCAGAACGCACTGATCAGATGATTGGCTGAAGCAGCTGATCAACAAAAGTACGATTAGAAAATCGACCGATCGGTCATCCAACGACTGAGAGGCATTCGTTCGTTGGTTGAAATTGTGGCCCACATTAACCAATCTAAAAAAAATTGTTCGTCGGGCAATTTGTAGTGTTGACATCTTCCGTACAAGTGGAAGTGATGCAGTGTGCGTGTAGCCACGCCCTTCCGGCCAGAACGAGTGATATACACAACAATTAACAGCAATGAGTATAATATAGTTTATTACATGGCCTATATACATAAATAGTGATACATAAAATATAATATGCAGAATTCTGGTTTCATTATCTCATTAGGCCAATCTACTTTTAAGATTTGGATTTTTTGTCCGTGTTTACGAAGATTCCTTGGACATAAACATCCGAGTCATCTTCTGTTTCTCATGCGTGATAGCGCTTGATAGATTTTTTTTCATACCACCGTCATACCACCGCATAGAAAAACGGTTGTTCATATGCGAAAAGACAATATTTCTCACTGTTGTTCAACCGGATTTTTTTCGTTCATAATATCGTTATTGGTTAACCACCTCCCGTCCGGCCGTTGTATATAAACGGCCGGACGGTGGCACTGCAGGGTCGGGTGGCCGTTTATAAACGGCCTCCCTGCACCCTGCTTGTACACGCTCCCTGGGAGCGCGTAGCACCACGATCCGGTGCCCGCTGTGTCCTCCGGACACAGTGAAACACTGATCAATGGATGGGACCTCTGTACAAGGTCCTGATCGTGTGATCACTGATTGGCCAATCAGTGATCACATTCAAAGTAGTAAGCATGTGACATCATTGCTTACTATGTATGAAATCTTATCATGATCATGTGAAATCTGAACGTGAATGCTCACAGAGGTCACATGGTACACAGCCTTGTACCATCTGACAAGCTGTGACCACTCACAGCTCACCAGGGGCGGACTGACCATTTGGAAACTCGGGCACTGCCCGAGGGCCCGGGGTCAGTAGGGGGCCCCATGAGATGCCCCTGGTACCTTTTTCATAGGATTTTTTGAGTTTGGGCAAGGACACAGGGCCCCATGATCCCCTATTGCCCGGGGGCCCCATGAGTTGTCAGTCCACCCCTGCAGTAATTCTCAATGGCTGCAAGAATGCAGACAGAGAGAAAGAGAAATGATTGCTTTTACATCCTATATGGGTGTAATAGCAATCAGTGTAAAAAAAAAAAATAAATCTTCATTACCCCCAACAAGTAGTACAGTGTCACCATGGTAACACTGTACTGCTAGGGTGACAGTATGTAAAAAAAAAAACATAAATAATAATCTAAAAAAAAAAAAAAAAATGTAAAACTATGTTTGGTTATAAACTAATTTGGCTTATTTTTTTTTTTTCTAATAAAAAGATAACGGAATAAATTTTGGCCAAGATTTATGATGAAATATTATTTATTTGCAAAATTTTATAAGAAAAACACTTTTTTTCCAAATTTTTGGACATTTTCATTTACATAGCAAAAAAAATAAAAATTCCAGTGGTGAATAAATACCACCAAAATAAAGCTTTATCTGTCTCAAAAAAATGCTAAAAAATTCATATGGGTACAGGGTTGCATGACCGCGCAATTGTCATTCAAAATGTGACAGCGCTGAAAGCTGAAAATTGCCCTGGTCAGGAAGGGGGTAAAAGTGTCCAGACTGGAAGTGGTTAAAACAGTCTGCTCATCAACGAAGAGAAAATCGTTCGATCAATGGTTCTGCAAAATTTTGTGTACGGGCCATAAAGCTCCATGCACGCTGGATGTTTTCATAACGCTGGTAACGTTAGCTGTGTAAAGTCACATTAAAAACATGAGTTTTTCAGCTTTTTTTAGCGTTTTTGCATTAGCATTTAGTGGAGTTTTGCAGCATTTAGCTGAGTTTTCCTGCGTTTGCATTTTTTAACCAAAAAACTGCATATTGTTGCGTTTTTCAGCGTTAGAGCATTTTTACAGCTAAAAAACTCCTCTAGAATCCCACTAGTCCTGGGTTTTTTTTCCAGCCAAAAAACGTCCATGCCAAAAAATGTTCATTACAGTCTATGTGTGAATGGACACATAGGATAACATGCTGGGGAGTTTAATGGCTGTAGAAAAAAAACGTCAAAAGCCAAAAACAGCAGCTGTAAAAACATTCAGTGTGCATGAGGACTAACACCCAGGCAAATAGCATTTTCAGAAGGATAAGTCAGCAATGGCAGCCCAGAAAAGCTAATCTGCTGGTTTTCTTTGAGTCCTTGCACCTGACTGTTGCATTGCTGTGTATGTGTTACTGCCAGGGGCGGACTGACCATTTGGAAACTCGGGCACTGCCCAAGGGCCCGGGGTCAGTAGGGGGCCCCATGAGATGCCCCTGGTACCTTTTTCATAGGCTTTTTTGAGTTTGGGCAAGGACACAGGGGCCCCATGATCCCCTATTGCCCGGGGGGCCCATGAGTTGTCAGTCCGCCCCTGGTTACTGCATGATCTAATGGTGTTTCATTTATATATTTATGACTGAACAAGGACAGCCAGCCACTGCTGTTTCTTTCGCTGTTTATAAATCCAGCATCTGCCATCAATGATTATAATATTCGTATTTCTTATATTACTTTTTTTTTTTCCTGTAGCACATTTCAGTTCTGAAAAAGGAATAAAAATCTTTGCTATCCCAGCTTCTGTCAAGTATATAAATAAATGCACTTGTGAGTATGAAGTACATACTAGTCTTGTGTTCTCAAGGGGAGCGATGGAAATTGGTAAGTGATATGCGTGATGCTGTCTTCAGGAGGAGTGACCAGTCATTGTCACTTTAAGAGCATCTGTGCGTCCTATATATAAGCTCGGCCTACATTTGTCATTCAAAGCTGCATAGTTTCACCTCTAGCAGGCTCTTGATTCAATCTCACTCATCATGGATGATATTTACAAGGCAGCGGTAGGTGATATTTTTAATTTATTTCTAAATTGAATATATGTCTCACTTTTGTATTATATCAAGTGTTAAAATGAAATGGAAATTTCAGCAGAACTTTTAAAGAGCAACAAATTGCTTTCTCAGTGTATGCTAAGTGAAAAAGCAACTAAAGTTGCAGCGATAGTTCAATATTTCTTTCCTTTTCATTCTTTGTCATTTTGTGGAGTAGAAGAAATGAAGCCTTGCAAAGCAGACCTACATCTGAGACATGAAGCTGTGCAGATTTCCCAACTTACTTCACCTCCATTGACCTGAAGAAGAGTATAGTTCATAGATGTCATTTTTACTTTAGATACTTAGGCAGCTGTTTTTTTTTCCTCTAGCCTCTCAACAATCACAAAACAAGCTTTTGCCATCATTCCAAAATGACTGCTGTAAAAAATATGAATTGCTTGATCATAAATGTTACTGTGGCTTAGGTTTTAGAAATTCTATCAAATAAAGTATTAGAATAACCAGGGGCGGACTGACCATTTGGAAACTCGAGGGCCCGGGGTCAGTAGAGGGCCCCATGAGATGCCCCTGGTACCTTTTTCATAGGCTTTTTTGAGTTTGGGCAAGGAGACAGGGGCCCCAGGATCCCCTATTGCCCGGGGGCCCCATGAGTTGTCAGTCCACCCCTGAGAATAACATATAATTAATTTGTAACTTGTGGCTAAATGGTTAGCACTTCCACCTGGTAGTACTAGGGTTGTTGGTTCAAATTCCAACCATGGCATCCCCTGCCTGGAGTTTGCATGTTCTCCCTGTACCTGCGTGGGTTTTTCCTCCAGGTACTCCAGTTTCCTCCCATACTCCAAAGACATGCTGGTAGGTGAATTGGCTCCTTTCTAAATTGCCCCTAGTATGTGTATGTATGAATGTGAGTTAGGGACCTTAGATTGTACAATATATATGTAAAGCACTGCGTAAATTGACGGCGCTATAGAGGTACCTGAAATAATAATAAATGAGAATCTTGAAGTCTAATGTTAAAGAGAATATGTTCACAAAATCAGACAACTTGCACATGCAGCAATTCACTAATTATAGAAATTAATGAGCTTACTTTGTACGTCTACCAGTTAGCATCTACGCTCTCAGTGGGGTTCCTTTTATTGAAGACAAATAGGCTGTTCATCTAGCAAGGGAAGTTGCACTTTGCAAGGGGTTTCCCCCAGAGCTTAGTGTACATGCTGAAATTTCACTTTGCAAAGAATGCCCAATCACGTGCAAGGAAAGTTAAACCAAAAAGCCTTTTTTATGTGCATGATTGGATGATGGAAGTCAAAAGCTTTGCTGGTTTTTTTGCCTTCCTCTGGATCAAAAGTGGGTATAGGATTATAACTTTTTTTTTTAATGGTTGAACTGGATGGACTTTTGTCTTTTTTCAGCCAGACTAACTATGTAACTATGTAAGAAGAGCTTCACCTCATTTACCAAGCTTGTGGAAAATTGCCCTGCAAAATGAACAGCCTATTTGCCTTTCGTAAATCAACCCCAATGCATCTTACTGCTATTTTGTATGAAATTTAACTAAGGGTTCTTTCACATGGGATGGACCCGCTTAGTGGATCCGCTTGCTCAGCGGGGGATCTCTCCGCTGATCCCCACTGAGCAAGCGAGCAATCCAATGGACAGAAGGGGAATTGGATCCCCATCCGTCCCTTTTTGGCAGATCGGATCGGATGTTGGTGGGTGTAAATGGACATATGTCCGTTTACACCTGCCGCTCCATAGAGGAGAATGGAGGTTCCGTTCGAGTCTGCCTGAAAAACGAGCAGGAAATCAGAACGTTCATGTGAAAGAGCCCTAAGAGGTGTCATAATGTGAATTTTCCACAGCTGATTACTTAGCACTGGATTCCTAAAGGGTGGGAGAAACGCACTGCACTTGCGATCTGCAGCAGGTGTCAATGTTAACATAATGGCACACCGAACTCAGGTAACAAACGCAGTACATTTTCCTGCGTTGGATCGCATGGTACAGTAGTACCATGTGATCCAGTTCCTGTGAATTTTATAAAGTGCGGACTGCTGTGATGTCAGCCCATTCAAATAAATGGGCTGAAATCGCAATGCACCCCTAAATGTATGGTGTGCACCAGCCCAAAACGCAAATCAGAAATCTTCATTATGCAGTTATGCATTGTGCTTGTGTTTTTAGATTTGACCGAAATACACTAAGTACATAAGCATGTGCATTGTATCTGATTAATGAGAAGATTTGTGTATTTACAAGTGCATTGTGGTATTTACTTACTTACAAGACATATACAGTACATAGAAAGATCATGAATGGCAGAATCTGAAAAGCCCTATGATAAACACACGGCCACAGGCATGTCAAGCATTCAAGCAGGACATTGACCTTGAAATTTGTCTTTGCCTTGGACTTGCCCAGGCCTCACCAGTGACAGAGCTGCACTGTAACCTCACACCTCGCAAGTGTCTTGTGTAATGTTAGCACTCAAATGCCCAAACTATTTATTACAAAACTATAAAACGTTGGTTATAGCAAGACATAAGGTCAGCTCCTCCCATAACTGCCCATATGGAAGAAAAATCTGTTTGAAATATATTTTAAAAATATTCTTCCCAAACATATTGCCATATATTTAAAAAAAAAAAAAAAAAAAAAAAATATATATATATATATATATATATATATATATATATGTATTAAAAAAAAAATAATATATATATATATATATGTATATACATATATTGCATGTTGAAATGCATTTTTATTACATAATATCTGAACATGTTTTTAAAAATACACTTCAAATATACTGTATGTCTTCAAAAATACAAATCTACAATTTGGAATGCATTTACAAATCTGAAGAATATATTTAAAAAATAGTTATTTTTAAACATATATATTCTTTAAATATATTCTTCAGATTTTTTTAACATTAAAAAAGTCACTTTAACATATATTTTTACATATATTTGTAAATGCATTCCAAAAATGTAGATTTGTTTTTTTAAAGACATACAGTATATTTGAAATGTATTTTTAAAAATATTTTTCAGATATATTGTAATAAAAACGCATTTAAACATGCAGTAAATATATATATATACATATTTATATATTTATTTATTTATTGAAATATATTTTGAAATATATTGAATATGGCCACCAACATTGTAGTATTTCAAATATATGGTAATATATTTCGGAAGCCTATTTTTAAAAAGATATTTCAAATATACTGGTATTTTTCTTCCACGTGGGTGGGTTTGCACAGTTGCTGTAAACCTACATTAATATTACATGGAAATATTGTATCGCAGAGGTTTGTATCGCATGGTTGGACTTATAGCATTAGCAAATACACAATTTTAGAGGTTAAATATAGCCATTACACTGTTTATAAAGGTTAAATATATATAATAATAATTACTTTTACATTCAATACACATTATTACATATACTATTTTTTATCATTATATTAGAATATTAGAATGAAGTACTGGCAAGGAGCAGCAAAAGATAGTGAAAAAGTACTGCTTTTTATATATATATATATATATATATATATATATATATATATAGTGTATGTGTATATCTATACACACACACATATATATATATATATATATATATATATATATATAGATAGATAGATAGATAGATAGATATATATATATACGCACATGTATCTATTTTTGCATTAATTTAAAAACATCATGAATTTTGAATTTTAAGATGAGCTAATCTGTCCAGATACCCATATTACATTCCAAATACTGGGCCTACAAGCATACTATAGTTCTGGCTATATATAGTAACATAAACTTCAACAATGGGACAATTGCATATCTTCTATAAACAGCTGTTTTGTACAGGATGATAGCCACATGCATTCCTACAGGGTTGGTCATGATTTAAAGAACTCATTGCTTGCATGGTGTAATAAATTCTTTTCACAAAAGCCCTGTCCTTAAAATCCCTTGCAAGCTAAAGTTTAGGAAGCACAAAAAAAGCCCAGTGACTGCACCAACATAAATATACTGCTTCAACTCTGATGCTGACTCTGCTTTTTAGCCAGCTTCACTACAGTGCAAAAGTAGCAAAAAAATGGGGGGGGGGATGGTAAAATAGGTGGTTGAGCTGGGTATACACAAGCCACTGATGCTTTGTTCTGCAGTCACAACAAAAATGATCCCCTCTATTGTGTTGATTGTGCAAGCATGGCTGCTGAATGTGACCCATTCAAGCAAATGGGGAGCCGTAATGCCATTGCCCTGCAATTGCATGTAGAGTAATACCTTGATTTAAGAACGCCTCGGTTAAAGTAATTTTCGGTTTACAAATGAAAATCCACTGAAAGTAATGCCTCAGTTTACAAATTTTGCATGAATTTTTTTCGCAATATGAAGTGTATGTCAGTGCTGATTTTTAAATGCAATTGCTGGCTCTTTTTTTTTTCTTCACTATAGCTCACAGAATTAGCTGTCACTTTCCCCAAAGTTAATGGAAATGTTGTTTCTTTTAAGAAACTAAAAAGAAACATAGTTTGCCTCCCCCCCCCCCCCTTTCCTGACCTGCCAGGCTGCATGCTCTGAAAAGGGTCTGGTATGGATTTTGGGGAGGACCCCCACGCCATTTTGTTTTAAATTTTGGCCCCTCAAAATCCATACCAGACACGAAGGGCTTGGTATGGATGGGAAGGGGGACCCCACACAGTTTTTTTAAAATTTTTTTTAATTGCCGGCAATTCTTTTACATTCAGCTGTCAGTGGGGAACCCCGCTGACAGCTGAAATATTAACACATGGTTGTCACTACTAAAATGCCGCTTGACTTGATAAAATAACTCCTGCAGTATTTATTAGTGTTTACTTTTTTCTGATCTCCGGAACAGATTAATTGGCTTTCAATGCATTCCTATAGGGTCTGCACTAGAATTGGATCGCACGGGTATTCACACCAATGTGATTCAATTCTGTACATCGCACTGGGCTTTGCGGACCGCTTTCGGGGTGTTGTTAACGTAACATACACACCCGCAATAGTTCACATGAATGGGGTGCGATTGTGATGTGGTGCACAATTCGCACAGAAAACGCTGCAAATTCAGCACCGCATCAGTGTGAACCCAGGCTAACAGGGCTAAAACAGACAGCGATAATATATTACCTCCTCACTGCCTGTCAAACACCTCTGAAAAATGATCCATCATGGGTAGATTTTCAGGGTGATGTCAAGCACTGCAGCTAGTATAAAATGTCTTGTATGAATTGCAGCCCAAAGCAAAAGTATAGTAGGTGCAGACAGACATACACTGCAGCATACCAGAATACACATGGGGGAGATTTACTAAGACTGGAGCACTCCAAATCTGGTAGATCTGTGCATGATACCCAATCAACTTTTAACTTCAGCTTGTTCAATTAGGTTTGGCAATAAAACCTGGAAGCTGCTTGGTTTCTGTGCAGAGCTGCACTGGATTGTGCGCCATGAAGTTTTAGTAAACGACCCCTATGCAGTTACTGGCAGTCCTGACTGAATACATGGGCTGTGTAGCACACACATCTTAAAGCATCCCAACCACAGCACCACCTACCTGGAGTTTGCATGTTCTCCCTGTGCCTGCGTGGGTTTCCTCCAGGTACTCCGGTTTCCTCCCACATGCTAAAGACATGCTGGTAGGTTAATTGGATCCTGTCTAAAATTGGCCCTAGTATGTGTATGTATGAATGTAAGTTAGGGACCTTAGATTGTTT